CAAATACATATATGTAGGTGCTTGTTAGAGAACAAGTTCACTGAACATGACCGTATGAAAATTCTTAATGAAAGATTTTCCGTCGAATAAGAATTTTCATGTTACAATAGGACATGATTGATCCTATGACTTGAGGCACGATGGTAACTTTGTGCATATTATATTATACTTTGATTTATCTTTTTGATTGCTAGCGCAATTGTATAAAGGGATATTTTGGGTATTATATTAATATGTATGGAAGTTTGTCAGTGGCCAACAAAGGATTCGACACTTATAAGATAAGTGAATTTCCTATGTGTTTCATAGTTTGTAATTCAAAGTCCTTGTCCAAGGCGAGATGAATAGAGATTCATAAATGAATTACTAAACTTGAAATAGAATCATAGTTATTAAATCAATTGGGTTTCGACTTATAAATTCATACCCAAGATTTAATCGGGAAATTGGATGTCGAAAGGATTTTACATGTACGTAATTGTAATTGAAAAGGTTTACTCGCTATTCACTTAATATTAGGCAATCATGCTACTTGCTAGGTGTTCCCATGATTTGTGGGTTCTTGAAATTAAAGGGTTAATTTCAAGAATAAGAATTAATATGATTAATTCAAATTACAAGTAAGTTGTAAACCCACTACTAGTATTAATAGTGAACCTAAAAGGTCACACCAATATTTGAATGAAAACAAGTTAAAGTGATATTTCTAAAAAGTTAGAATGTTTTGATAATGATTAATCAAATAATATGATTATTTAATTAATTATCTAATTATGAATTAGATGTCAATTAAATGAATATTATAAATTAATCAATTGGATTGATTAATTTAGTTTTGGATATTAATTAAGTAATTAATGTAATTACTAAATTAATAGTTGGATTTTAAAATTCAAATCCAAAATAATAATATGATTATTATAAAGAGGATAATATTATAATTGGGAGAAAAGATTATTTTAATAAAATCTTAAAAAGTGTTTTCAAGAATTATTATTTTATTATTTTATCTTTAATATGATTAAAGATTAAAATAATGAAAAGACAAAATAATTGTGGTAGATGGTGGTTATGAACCACTTCACATAATTAATTAAAAGTCAATATTTGGTGAGATTATTTAATAAAATCTGATTTTATTTAAAATAAATAATTACCAAATGTTGATTATTTTATGCTAAAAGTTTAGTATAAATAGGTGCAAAATGTTTGCACATATTTGCTAAGTTTTGAAATTTTTCAAGAGTTGAAAAAGAATGAAAAAGAAGTATTGTTCTTCAAGATAAAAATTTTAGAAAGAGTTCTTAAATAATAAAAGAAAAAAAATTTATCTCCCAATTAAAATCCTCTAATTAATATTCCTATATCAAATATAATAATTTGTATCAAAAATCAAATATATAAAACTTTGTTAAGCAGTTTGCCATACCCAGCTAGTGAGTTCCTTAACTACAAGCTTGCTAACATCACGAATAGCAGCCGAGATAGCAAGGTGAGCATTAACATAAGCATTGTTGGATGCATTCTCATATACTCCCTGCAATAAACCTCATTCAAATTAACATAAACCGTACAAGAAATTCACTGAAGAGAAGTTACAACATGAATCATTTGAAAATATATCCCCCGACAAAAAGCTATAACACCAGAAGTAAATTACAAAAA